ACTCTGAATGATCACACTTTAGTTTTTAATTTGCAGTTTTGCTCTTCTACCTTTTTAATTCTGTACCCTGGCTTCTCATTTTCTCTCGCTTGGCGCAGCCGAGTCTCGAGGGACAGGAGCGCCGTGCACGATTGTCATGGAAACAGCGTTGGATGGGAGGAAGACAAGATGGAGGAGTCGGAGCTGCCCTGGCCTCCTTTCAGGGGGAGGGAGCTGCATGGGAATGAGCCAGATGTATTCCAGGGGCGGGGACGAGGCTAACAAGTAAATTACTAGCTGAGTTGATGAGATTAAGGTGGCATTTAGTGAGATGCTTGAGTATGCACACCTTTATACTCCAGGAAAATGATAGACCATGAAGTTTGAAAGCTGCTGATGTTAAAACCAAAAGAGCATATATTTCCTGATAAATTATTAATTCATAGTTCAACAGTAAGGACTTTGATCTTGATGTGGATGCATGTTAAACACAGTATTTATTCTTTCCCCCAGATATTTGAAAACCAAAATTCCTAAAGACAAACTGTAATAGCTTGTGAGAGGCTTTAGCAACTGACCTCTTACATTTAAGCTGAAGTGCCTGTATTTTAAACCACAGAAAATTAACTATGAAATCATATCCAGGTAACTCCTTCCTCACTCTCATCTCTCTTTGGTTCCATCAGTTTTCACATGCATGTATTTTTTGGTGTCACATATTTAGATCAGCTTTTTTCAGAGTGAAAAAAGTGCTTGCCCTAATTCAGCCAATCAGCTCTTGGTATGTAGAAGATACAATGTTTTCTATTAAAATATGAATACAACATGATGTGTCTCTGTCTGTTACAAAAAATGTCAGGTACTCCAGCTTTAAGGAATAATATTATCCACTTGATACCAGTCCTCTATTGCTCTATCTTTCATTAATATTAGTGTCTACAGTATACCAGGCTGCCTCAGTTAAAACGGCTTTAATGTTTTAGTGTATCAGGTACCCTCTGTTCCTAATTTTGTCTTTAGCAAGCAAGTACAGACCGGTGCTGCTCCTTTGGTTGCTTAGTCATTGCTAACCACAAAAAGTGTATACAGATTCCCTCTCATAGCACCTGTTTAAGCTAGCTCGAATCAACCCTGTGACAGCGACTTTACTCCTATGGTCTGTGGCTGGACCTCAAGAAGTAAGTAAGTAAGTAATCTTTATTCATATAGCGCTTTATACAGACCAGAGTCACAAAGCGGTTTACAATTGCTGTGGGCATTTGTCCTTTCACTCCACACAGAGATGGAGGCAGGATCAGCATACAGGAGGCATGCCAGACCTATTTAGGGTTGCCAACTCGAGAACAAAAAAATAAGGGACAACCTTTGGGTGGATCGGGTTGAGCACTTTTTAGTCCTAATTTCAATCTACACAGGAATCATGGAATTTCATAATCACAGTTTTTAGAATGTAATTTATTGGCTACATATAAATTTATTGGCTACATATAAAAATCAAAAAAATTCTTAGGCAAAAAATAAATGTCATAAATAGGTGGAACTCTTTGGCTGGTTAAGGACTTCATGCATTCTTATTAGTAATAAAACATATAAAAAGACAAACGCTGTAACATACATTATTTATGTATAAGCAAAGGAAGGTTTCTCACCCATCATCTGTACTTCTTAGCAAGTTTTCCCGACGTTTCGTCCTCAACCTGGGGACGAAACGTCGGGAAAACTTGCTAAGAAGTACAGATGATGGGTGAGAAACCTTCCTTTGCTTTGACTAATCCCTGTACGACTGAGGGCTTACACAAACATACATTATTTATGTATGTTACAGTAAAGACCATTTACTGTAAAAGAAAAAAAGAAAAACATGTATTCATTAACAAAACTCACAAATGTTGAAATCAAAGTCTGTAGCAGTTAGATATGGTCATTATTTATAGTGTCTGAGAGTTTAGTGCGTGTACATGGCTTCAGTAAAAGCTATTTTTGTTTACAAAGCTGGTATTGACATTGGTTGACGGTCCCTAAGCGCTTTTCTCGGCGCTTGCAGTGCACTGGATTCAATGGATTTCTCTGCATTAAAAACAGCGCATTGGATTTGAAAAATCAACATAGAGGTGATCATTTTAGCAAATTACTTTTGTTTAACAAAGTAACTTCCGTGAGCTATTGACCGCGGAAGTCCGAATCTGGGAATATGACGCTACTTTACCAGACTTCTGCCAGGATGATGCTGCGGGCACGGCCGATCCATGCACGGCCCACGCTGTCACTTGTCAACAGTAAGGGTAAACCCATGGATGTGATCAAGCCTACGCCCCTTTTGACACTGTTTGGCCGAAAGGTAGACGCTTAAACTGTGATTACTGTGTGTGCGTGTGTCGGTTGTGTGACATGCAGTGAGTGAGTGATGCATTTAAGGCGACTCTGAAAATACGGGACAAAAGCCGTCCCGTATCAGTTCAATACGGGACGCACATAGTTTTTCTATAATACGGGACTATTCCGTATTTCAAGGGACGGTTGGCAACCCTAGACCTATTGTACATGTTTTTTAGTGGTGAGGAAAAGTGGAGCACCTGGAGGAAACCTAAGCAGACACGGGGAGAACATGCAAACTCCACACAGAAAGGCCTTGAGATGGAATCGAACTGAGGACCTACTTCTGAACCAAATAAACCAAACTCCAGGTCTGTTTTTGACGAAAGTTGTAACATGTGAAAGACAGTTTGCGTTCTTCATTACGAGTCTGTGTTTCCTTTGAATATCATGGATTGTGACTTACTGTACTGTTTGACAAATTATCTTCACGCTACAGAGAGACACGAGTCATAGGTTAAAAACAGATAAGCGTTTTAGAAGTCTCCGCTTTCACAGCCGAGACGTATTCCTCCAAAACAATCTCCATGCACTCAATCCGGAGCCTGACTTTAGCCGTGCTCAGCAAATCTCCTCTCCACACTCTCCTATAATCCTCCTTCTCTCCGCCTGATCCCCGGCCCTCATATTTCTACTGTCTCATATCTGACACGACTCCTCTTGGCTTCAGAAACTGTTACTTGTCCTTAGATTATAAATTATATGATTTAGAGACGTTAAAAAGGTTATCACATTGTTCTCATTTCAGCTCGTGTTTCATCTGTAAATATACAAACGAACAAAAGCAACAGTTTAATGAGCAGCTCCTCTCTTTGTTGTCATTATTGTAAATATTCGTATATGTATTGTGTGTATTGTGTTTGAGCCGCTTCCATTCCAATATTGAGGCAACTTTACGATATTCCATGTTGGTGTGAGCTTGAAGGGAGTAGGCTGAGGAGAGCTTTTGTGCGCCTATCTCTCCTTCATTAACCCCAAAAACACATTTTATAACTACGTCAATGTTAATCTGAAAGCAACACATTTTCCGTCCAAAAAGTTTTTCAAGTGTGAAATGCTAACAGAAAAATCCATTTTCAACAATTCTTATAGAGGGATGTTTGCGTGGATTTATTGGATTTTAGCAACAGCCGTAGAAAATTCACCATATTTTATATAAATCTTTGGCTTCTCCTTCCAAGCAGCAGCCAGAACCATGTCACTGGCCTTTCTGTTTATAACCGGAATATTTCACATAATCCTTCATTGTTTACAATCTTGCTTCTCTTGTCTGTGCACGACCCAAACACCTGGACTCTTTGATATATTACTAACTCAAAGCCTTGTAAATATGACAATGCTCTGTGATTATGTAGAATGATTTACACAAGAAACAAAGCTGCAATTACATGTTTTTCAGACATGCAAAGAACATCGCAAGGTTCAACAAAAGTTCTTTCTACAAGTGAGCAGTGGCCAGCTCTTGTGCTATAATTGAATGCATTTAATTGAATGTGTTTGCCTTCACAACATAAGGGGCACGTATACATTTTCAATGGACTATTCCTTGTTTAATTGCAAAAATAAATGGCGTCCATCCAATGTCATTACAATCTTTAACAATGAAACCTATAGACTTTCACCCGCACTCCCACTCGCTCCCACAGTCATCTATCACCGTTCGCTCTGTACGTCCTCTATGGCCACATCCACCCACTCCGCAGACCGATTCTTTTATTTCCTTTAATAAATGTTTGGTAGCAGTTCTGTTTCTTGTTCAGCAGATGTCCATAACTGTGTGTATCATATGCACCAGATTGTTTTCTTTCCTTCCCAGTCTAGGTGCCTAATGACCATATTGTCTGACCACATACTGACCACTTACATTTTATTTTATATAAGAATGGATGTTTTGACCACCCTGGCCATACATATAGTCTATATACAGTATATATATCTACTATAGTACCTCCCCTTGCCATAACCACTGGCAGTAATACACGTACAAGTACAAGTACAATAGATCAGTGGGGAGGAAACTTTCAATTATGCCCTGCAGCTTCTTCTGAATGACTAAACTCAGGCCGCCATAAAGATGGATACTCAGAGAAGGAAGGTGGAATTGACCTGGAACCAGTCACAACGAGAGCCCACTGTATTCAGGAGAGTACTAATAATTTTCTGTTGTTGTGGCATTTTGTTTCATGAAATTTGGGCTGCAATTAAAGATTATTTTGAAAATCGATTAGTAGGCTGATTGTTCATTTGATCCATCGATTAAGTGATTAGAACATAAAAAGCCTGTGATTATTGAATATTTAAATATCTTCAACAGCTTTATAACACAATTGTTTGTATATGCATTTAAATTATCATCCAATTATCACTGCTCATTGATTGATAAGTTGCAATAAAAATATGTATGTATCTTTTAACAATGTAACCAAGCCCTACCGACTCTGAACCTGCATGCATCTTTGTGTGTTGGCTTAAGTTTGTTTAAAATAACTATAGACAATTACACAAAAGGGGGGCAGGTATAACCACTGATTGCGTTTAAAAAACCCTTTCTCTTCACAATTTGAAAAGTACCAAAATTCTCTTCCATTAGTTTCTGTTCGATTCTGAGAAAACCCTGTTTTAGTAACTCTACGGGGCGCCTTACGTACCTCTTTGCACCAGCATGGTCACTTCGCTCCCACGGGGACACTTGCTCAGCAGGTCCACCACCTGGTTGTGGCTCATGTTCTGGACGTTCCTCTTGTTGACCTCCATCAGAATGTCTCCCTCTTTCAGGCCTCTGCAGCGAGGATAGTCCACGATCTGCTTCACCCTCTGCCCTCCGCCCGTCAGGCTGTCTGCGATGGTGAAGCCGAAGCCCTTGTCTCCCTTCTCCATGTGGATGGTTATGAGCTCAGGCTGCGTTGCTATGGACGACGCCAGGTTGACCACGTCGCTGGAGTAACCATGCGACCCGTTCGACGCCCTGTCCGCAGAAGGACTGTGCGGCCGGGGCTCTCTCAACCCGTTCACCGGTCCCACCTGGTTTGACGACTCATAGTTCTCCTGTCCGTTCACAATGATCGGCTCTTTGTCCAAAATGGCCACCGAGGTCACCAGGCTCGTGTTGGGGTCGTCCGGGTCGAATGGCAGCGGGTAGCCACGACATAAGGCGAGGTCCACCATGGAACCGATGGGGATGGACTGGAAGATCTTGACCACCTGAGCGTGTGTGTATCCGAGTACAATGGTGTCATTCACACTCACTATGACGTCGCCTGCGAAGACAGAGACATGAAGTCAACATTTAGGATTTTTACAGACATTAGTCATCCCTCAACCCTATGGATCCTAAAGGTTTATTTGTTGTTGTTGTTGCTTATGTATTAATTTGATTTTCTAATCTGTTGTTGGTGACAACAGTTTTGTAAAGTCCTGCGAGACGGCCGCTGTTGAGAATAAGGGATATACACAAATACATTGAATTTAAGTATGAAAACAGAACCTGGACATTAAACAAGACAACAGAAGAATAAGTTATAGTTTTGTACTGATTTTGGAACAGGAACAATATAGGATTTCTTTTACATATTTAATTATTCTCATCTTTAAAGGTTGTTTGTGGAAGACCTGCATCTATTTTACAGAAGACAAAAAAAAAACAATGTAATAAAATGACAAAAACAATATATTTTGTAAACTAACTTTAAAGACATTCCATAGAACTGAACCCCGGAAAACCCTCAAAAGCTGTGCATGAATATATGTTCAGGCATATACAGTAGGTATGCTTGAATTATGTAATTATGTATTACCATGTAATAATTACATTAAATGTAAATGAATGAAATACTTTTAAACTTCAGCTGAGAATAAAGCATTATTTTCTATATATTTACAGCTATATATAACTTTATTTACAGCGCTCTCTTTGATTCCACTGTTCTTGTACTGTGCGCTACAACTTTGACTTGTTCCCACTGAACGAGTCAAGCACTTAGTGTGACATAAAAATGCACTATACAAGTACCATCTCAAAACTCATAAAACTAACACATCTTCTCATTCTTTTTTATTCATGAATGTATTTTTGTGGGTTCATATTGTGTAAAATAGTTCTATATGTTTGCAGCTTTATCTCATAGCTACATTCAACCAGAGCATTGTGGTTGACTCTGCACACAAGAGCTCCCTCTGTAGTTAAAGCAGGCGTACTGCACCTGTCTCCATCTTCCCATCCACAGCTGCAGGACCATCCAGCACCAGGCTCTTGATCTGGAGGAACTCGTCCGGCTCGTCTCCTCCGACCACAGTGAACCCGAAGCCACGCCTGCTCTTCTTTAACTTTGTGTTGATGAATGTTCCTTTGAGCTCGGCTGGGTTTCTGGTGAAGAAAGGCTTCCCTCCTATAAACCAGGAGAAACAGTCTTAGCTCTTGCTTTTGTCAATGCATCCAGGACAAAAGAGGTCAAATGTGACGTTACGTTTGACTCCGATGGGGCCTGGAGGTAGAGTGGGCAGGACTTGAGGGTCCCTGTAAGTCTCCAGGTGATTAGGAGCATAGTTTGCCAGAGGAGCAGCAGCTGACGAGTGCTCCTCTATCCATTCTGTTTGAGTAAATCCAGCAGGGTTCAATACATCCATGATTTAGACTGACAGTTGTAACATGTAAACATTTAGCCACAAACACCACTCACACACAACACACACACACACAAAGCTTTAAGCACAACGTGTTAGTGTTCACAATGTTATTGGCTGAAAGCGGTTTCCTTACAACAATAGAGTTGGATGGAGCTGAGTTTCCAAGAGAGAGGCCGTTCCTTAGCAGTTCTCAAGATGTAGCTTTATTTTTTAGCTAGTTTTCATTCTTTGTTTCCTTAAAGGTGATGTAAAGAATGTATGTTTCTGACCATGGGGCAAAGTACCATTATGTACTAAAGGTATTTTTCAACTATGATATATTCAAAATACTCTTTCCCCTTGGCATAAGATTAGCTGGAGGAGAGCAATGAACCAATGAGATGAGGCCTCAAGGATTTGAATTCGATTTGACCAATCAGGAAGCTGCGGGTTGAGCATGAGCTAACCAGTGCTTGTCTTCAAAATGTTTCACTCCCTCTTCACAATTTTAACCTTAACTTTAAAGATAATTTTGGTTTTCTTCCAATTAAGCACAGGCCTTGATCTCGGTTGTATCTTTTAAATTTGGTTGGAATCCAATAAGCTTTTGTTTCGTCCAACTCCCTTTTCAATCTGTATTTTTCAAATCAAATGTATATATCTTGCTTTATTCTGCTGTATAAGTTTCAAAATTCAAATAAACACTTACTTTCTTATTTAATTCTTGCGCTGCAGCTAGTTTCATAAATTATAGTATGTTTTAAAACTAATTCCTATTTTACGCCTAACTTAATGAATGAGACACATCACTAATGATTTAAACGCACATAAATAAAATCATACACACAAGACGACAGCACCAGGATTTGAACCAGTGCAAATGCAGAAACAACGTTGGTGAGAAGTTTCTGATTTTGATACAGCACCGTCTCAAAATCCCAGACACGCAGCTGGTCCAAACCCGTGGCATTGACACTCTCACTATAAAGACAAGACAAACACAAAGAAAGAAAGAAATGGTGCCGTGCCAGGGCAGGAAACGAACCTCGAATATACCGCTCACCTTCTGGAGGCTGCGGCTGCTCCACCAGTTTGCGGCGCCGCGCCTCCACCACCGGGTTTTCATACTGCGTCTTCCGATTGATATGACTAAGACACAGACAAAGAGACACGGACGTTTCACACAATACTTGGAGACCTGTAATAACAAGGGTCTACCATGTAAAGCTGGGGTACCTAACTTTTTATTTTGGTTTCATTAAGATACATTCACCCCAACAGAGAGTCATGTCTAAAAGGGGCTGCATATAACAAAGTCTGTGACACTAAACTTTATCAACATTTATGGACATTGGTCTCTGCCCCTTAAGGACCAATGGTTCTATGTGTTTTTATCATTGCATTTCTTGTGTTTTGAGCTGTTTGATTATCTGATCTGAGTAGGTGAATTCAACGGTTTTGTTAAGTCCACATGTATTTTGGTCAGTTTTTTCAGACAAAAAAGCAAGAACAGCTCTCAATCAGCCATTCAGCTCTCAGCCCAAAGCATCAAACAGTGTCTCTCGGGGCTCTTTCTTACAAGGATGCTAAAGACAATCAAAATATAAAAATACAATTCTTGTTTTTCAGTTTGGGCAGTTGGGAAATGACAAGAGAAAACAGCGAATCAAAAGATGTGATCGACTCTACAAAGCACTGGATTTGTAGAAAGTTGGTTGTGTATTAAAGAAATTATTAATAGCATTATGAACTTACTCAACATAATATACACCGTACACTGGATCATCTATCCTCTCCCATCCTGGGGGCAATTCTGGAAAAATAGAAAAAACATAATTAAAAAACCTGATAGTTGAATAGAAAGACCAACCAAAAAAACTTAGCAAGAAGCCAGACACTAAAGTGGAAATATAGGAAAACAATTTTTTGTTTTTTCTGAATCAAATCTCAAAACAGACTGTATTCCTCCTCCTGCAGAAACAGGGCTATTGTTTCTACACCAGTTTCCTCTGCTGTATTTCATCCGTGTTTAAGACATTAGCTCCTCGTGTTACGGGCTTTTCCCAAGTCCAGTAAACATTTTTGAGAAGAGACTGGGTTTCGCAATCAATAACCACAGAGCTCAGCATGTGCAGGGCCAGCAATAACAAGGCCAGAGCCAGACAGTCCATGTGCGTTTGAGAAGTATAGTTCCTTCTTTTCATATTGTGTTTTCATGCTACAAATGAGATGCGACCGCCAGCTGAGCAGCAGATTCTGTGAAGTGGCTCCAAGGACATATAGAGCCAACGGATTCCACAAAACCGCAGTCAAATTCTACTATTTGAGTCATTTTTATAATGGATAACATTCATCCACAAATCAAAACCTGACCTAGCTCCATATTGTTGAATACTGAATGAGGAGGGCATCAAAGCCCATTGAAGAGGGGAAACACTTAATAAATCATAGCTGAAAACACGTTTGCAATGTTTTGTACAAGATACAGGCTCGCTGTAAGCCGTGAGCTTGTTTTGTGTCAAAGGCAAAGCTTCGTACCTAAATCACTCTCCAGGTCTTCCGTGTGTAGCCCTTCTTCTCCAAGACGGAAACAGGATGAGACAAGAAGACAAGATAAAAAGAGCAAAGACAGAAGAATGTAAATATGGGAAAGTATAGAGAGTGGTAAACAAAAAGAAAGACTTCTTAGTTACAGAACACATTCCAAATCAACAAAAATAAAAAAACAACTAGTGCTACTTTTTAGTGTGGCCACTGGATGGTGCAATTTTACAACAAACATGAATTGACAGAAGCTCAATATTAAATGAATGAAGTTTATTTTTAATTTAGTGCATATGCAGAATTGTGAAAAATCAAATACCCCAAAGTGAAGCTTCGTAAAGTACAAGTCCAAACATGTAGTACTTGACTTCAGTGTTTGCCCGTTATCATTAGAGCCCGTTCACTCTCAAAAACAGCTGCTTAAACTGAATTTATTTGTGAACGCTAAAACAAATGACTGGACTCTTTGAAGCTGAAGCCTTGTGATACATCCAGGAGCTTTTCTTTTTTAGTATTTTAACAATGGTTTGACCAAAATAAAACGCAATGTTCATCAGTGCCTGGCAGTCTGTGTTACAGTACGTGTTAAGGTTGACCATTTTCTGACATCAGTCCGGGGACAAAGGATGGGTGCATTTACAGTAATGTTCATAAATGTATACTGTCCCTGTCAAATTAACAAATACATACATTACTTTGAGGAGAGAAAATAGGATAATTGCCATAGTGTCATAGCGTGGATATTCCTATGATTTGATATTTATTTTATTTTGTATATTGTTGTCATGTGTCCTCCTGTGTATCCATGCCCTGTGCCCCTCTCCTCTTGTTGTCAGTCCATTGTCTTTCCCAGTGTCTGCTTCCTGTTTTTGTTTGGATTCTTGTTGATATTTTCTGGATTTGGTTTTCTTTTATTAAATTACCCTTTTATTTGCATTCCTGCATTTTTGGTCCTTCTGTTGTTTTCGCCTCGTGACACGTAGTCCAATTTAATTATTTTGTATAAATAAAAAACACATCTTTCACTTGATGTTTGCCTGATGAACCACGTAAAGCGATCACTCCTGAGACAAGACGAGCGGATGCAATTGGCCAAATATGGGCTAATGTTTTGATCATTGTGAAGATCAGCACTCTCCAATACAGACTTAACAGCATGTGATTTTATATTTTGGTTTTGCTACATGAAGCAAAAGATAAAAACACCATTGTTAGCGTTTCATTGCACTATGTCAAGAAAATGACTTACACGCAGCAGCAACGTGTCTGAAAATCTAATGCTCAGAGTCAACAAGATGTTGCTAAACTGTGTTTGTCAACAGAGCCCTCTTTGTTAGTATTTACGGCTGTAAAGCGCTAACCGAGTAAGAGGGCAGTGCTCAGGCCTCACAGCAAGAAGGTCATGGGTTTGAATCCTGTGTCTGCTCGGGCATTTCTGTCTTTGCCTGTTTGTCTCCATGTCGAGGTGGGTTTCCATCCTGGAGCTCCAATTTCCTCCATCGCCCAAAGCTATATGAATCTGAAGGCACAAACTGTTCCCCTCTCTTTTGTCACTACTGCGTTGTAGAGTCCCTATTCTCTGCCCATTTTAACAGTGAATGATCTGGAACTTACCATCGTCATCACACTCCTCCAAAGGTCGGTTTCCTTTGTCTCGACACCGGGGATCCAGCCATGACGTGGTCTTGGTGTTGTGACTGAGAGGAACAAATAGACAAGAGCATGATTCAACAAAAGTTGTCAATGCGACTTAGAAAAGCACAGCAGGGGCGTGAGTGCGTCAGTGAAAATTACAGAACCAAGCACATCAGCATGTTTGTAAGAAGCGGCTGCAGAACTACACAGAACAACAAGCAGCACAAGCAGAAGAGCACTGACAGTTCCTGATAATGATCATATTTTTGTAATAAACAGACATACAGGCCCTGTGAACACACAGCCATCACCGTGTGGGGCACCTCTGCTGTGCTGCTGGAAGACAGAGAGGTGGAGTAGTCAGGTGATCAGGAGTGATCTCCTTCAGAGATCAGGACATGCAGGGATTAACAGGAAGGCAGTGCCACCCAGCGGGTGGGGCAAGTGGAGAGGGGAGGCCTTAAAGCACAGTGACAGTGGGAAGCCATTGGACAAACAGGACTGCAGGTAAAATACATAGACCTTAGTGCTGCTAAAGCGAATACACAAGTTTTACATACTCTATGAAGTACAGCTCTCCGTTTTCAGTGTAAGCCATCTCCCAGTTCTCGGGCAGCGGTCCCAGAGGGTCATCAGGAGAGACCTGCGGCTCAGCCAGTGTCTGCTGCCCGCTGTCTGAGGTGGAGATGGCTGCATTGTTCAGGCCGATGGGAGCATGTGCTGCGTACGGCCGGAGGATACCACCGCGGCTCTCGTCCGGGTCGTTAGGGTTACCTGTGCAGAGCAGAGGAGAGGGGAAGAGACTACGCACTAAGGATCCTGGGAAAGGCAAAACACGACATGACAACAAGAAGAGAGAAAAGAAAGAGTTTATGTTTCATGCAAGAGGCAGAACATGCAAAAACCCAAAGCATGCAACTTAATTAACGAATAAAACTACATCTTTTCACAAAATTTTCCCGCCTTCTATCGCTCTAGTTCGCCCCTGGACTGGATAATACTAATTTATTCAACAACAGTACAATCCAAACTTCCAATCCCCCACTTCAGCCGACTCCGCCGCCCCACCCTTAAGCCCTTTTCTCCCCACCCCCAGCACAGCTCTGGCCCACTGTGTTCCTACATCTCCTTTCAGACTTGATCAAATGCTAATTCACCCTCTGCAGCTTGGCATGGGGACATAGAAAGCATACATTCCCAGCAACAGGCAAGCGACATACCCTGGGAAAGACGCTCAGTAAAAGAGTAAGAACAAAACTGACATTCCAAGTCAAAAACATGGTTGATTTTGAGACTTTGAAAACTACTGCAACACAATAATAGTGTGTTGTAGTACAATTAATATAACACCACAATATATATAACAAATATACAAAACTAAACTAATTATTCAATTATCTTTCATAATACACTGATATCGAGCAATTACACACAAATTGATCACTTTCTAAAGCTGGGGCACCTCACTTTAAACCACAAAGTATCTTATCCACAAGTATCTTATCTTACTTTTTTCACTATGAAATATACATTTGACTAGTTTCTCACTCTCAAAACGCTTTGGTTATATCCCTAGTTTTTACTAGCATGTCAGTTTTGGCCTCTGTTGCCTCCGTAGATCAGCTTCTTCAAATAGAAAGTGAAAAAGACCCTACTCAGCTCCAAGCCCAAAACGTCATGTAGTGACTCACAGGGCTCTTTCTGAACAAGACATAACATGTTTTCCAATACAATGAATGAAGACCTCATGTTGTGGTCTGAGACTGTTTTTTTAATAAGAAAAAAAAAAAAGAGCGTTATTTATAAAACAAAAAAGTTAGGTGCCCCAGCTTTAAATGCTCCTCCTAACTGGCAGATGGCGCAATTCACAAACCACTAATATACAGTAAAACCTTTGACATGACAAAAAATGTAACTGTCGAAGCTCTGATGCATCTTATGTCTTCACACATGAGGACCATAGGACATCTCTAAGTTATTGAACCCATGCAAAGATGAGAAGAAAAAGCGGCGTTAGAAGCAGCGAGGGGCCCACCTGTGAAACTGTTGTTCATTTCCGAGGCCGGATCGTCATCGTCGTCGTCAGCAGGCACTACGCGGGCGTGTTGCATGTCATTGTAGGACTTGGTTCGCTTCGGGGTGGACTGTTGCGAGTCGGGAGCTCCAAGGATCACTGTCCCGATGACAGGCTGCCGCGGAGGCTTGGGGGTCCCATAATAGTTACCTAGGCAACAAGGAAGGACATTAGCATGCTTAGAGAGAAGCGAGGAAGGGGCAAGACGGGAGGAAAGGCAGAGGATATACAACAGAGCGATGGGGAGAATGAAGAGAGTAAGCTTGTCAAAAATAGAAAAAATCATAACTCAAAAGGGTAGATTTTGGTTTTCTTATGTTACATTGTTTTTCCGGATCCTTTATAAGTAGTATATCTTGTTAAAAGAACCAAAATCAAGATAATATCAATACATCATTATCATTCTGATCAATACCGAAAATAGTATTCAAACTAGATACTCATTTGAACAAGTATAGATGCTAAATAAAACTACTATATTACTATCAAACAGGACAGAGTTGGACGTTTTTTAAATTTTTTATAAATGTTAAAAAACGATATCAGGAGTGGCCCCATAAAAAAGTAGTATGATAATTTGTACAAGTATAAAGTTTATGGTTCAAAAAGAGCATTTATAAATACTCACAGTATTTTTCATAGTATCGAAGAAGAGTTTGTAACAACACCAGAAGGGAATTGTGTTTTTACTGAGTGGCAACACTGCAAAAACTAATCAAATGTAAGCCAGTAAAAGATTTGTTAGCAAATGTTGTCTGTCTTTTTTTTTGTCTGCAAGATTTGCCAACGGGACTTGCAAAAAAATTTACTAAATCAAGCCTGATACAATAAATTCCACTTATTATTCAAAAGGTGCATTTTCTTGACTTGTGATATCACTCACTAGACCTGTGTAATAATCACTATGTCGACAATAACTGATGCATGGAACAACTTATTTTGGACTAATTTTGTCTATACATTTGTTTGACATTTTAGCTGTAGATGAAATGGGTAGGGATTAAAAAAAACAAGGAACAGTTTGGCTGAATGAGTCGAGAGCTCCATAAACCCACACAACCACTAACAGTTCTTTAATCTGCTAATTATTTCTATACAACTAATTCTACATATATTTAGCCCTGTACACTCTTAAAAAATGTTTGAGGAAACAGATCCTTAGCAACGGTTGTCATGACCAAACAGAAGACAGAAGGAGAAATAGCAACATTTTCCATAAGTTTTTCATAAGTTTTACAAAATTATACATATTTAGCGACTTAATTCAACACCTCACTGTAAAATAAGAGTTTTAAAAGTAACTTCATAATAAAAGAAATTCAGTAAACTGTTTAACCTCATTACTGTGTGTTACTATGGCAATGTCTGAGGCGGAGTGATATGGAACCTAAATTTAACATGATGGTACAACAGTATTCGACAAAGACATATTTCATTGGCCAAGTGAATTTTATGGTTAAATATGGCTTGGTTCTGCTACTCTATATTTGTCTATTCAGAATGAAGACATCCAGGTTTAAATTACTTCTAAACAAACAAAAAGCAAATACATTTATATTTTTTAGTGACATATAGACAACACATTATACAAATATCCCACAATATTATTTAATAACATAAAACTCCAGACAAATCAATGAGTATAGATCAGCAGCTGAGAGAGGACACTGCTGATCCAAAATGCTTCACACATAAATAATTCACCATGATTATGTAATTGTACTACTTTCATTGGCTCGGCACTAATAGCACTTGATTTGACAGCCAACGATTCTGAAAAATAATTGGCTTCCTCAATTGAGTGTGATAATTTGTCTAAGCTGCTAGAAAATAAAAGGCCAAAACATGAAAAGTATTTTAACACATTTTCAGATAAACCGCACGTGTGAAATTTGCTAATTTAAATTTCTTTTTAAATGTGGTAACTGAAAATACAAAATTGAATAAACACTATCAAATGTTTACTGTGAAATTAGGTTACTATAGACATATTAAACTTGAAAAGATATTTAAGCTGCTTCTGCCTGTGACTACAGACAATGTGGCATACTGTAGTAAGTGTTGAAGAGTAATGAAATACTTTCTTTTGGTGCTTTGGTGCATTTCTCAATTTTTTATGAAAGATTATGTAAGATTGTGAAATTGTGAAAAATTTAGTTTATGCATAGTTTAACTATGTAACAATGTTATTAACTAAATGTTTTAAACGTGTGTGCGCTCTATACAGTCCTGTCAAGAGCAGTGAGCAGTGTATTGTGCATGTTATGTCCCCTTTAAGTCCGACTTCCTCACTCATGTATGGACTTTATTAACATTTATGGACACATGGGTCATCTGCCTCTTGTGGACCATTGGTTCTGTGTTTTTATTGTTACATTTCTTGTGTTTGAACTGTTTGATTCTCTAATCTGTGTTGGCGATTTCGACAGGTTTTGAACAGTCCTTTGAGATATACTGTTGTGATTTAGGGCTTGGCAAAAATGTATTAAATTAAATTGAACTGAATTGAAAATCCTAAGTTTTCTTAATGACTTTTGGGCACCGATGAACTCATGTGGACAGGTATTCTACAGGTAGTGTGAAAATAGAAATGTGCCAACACAAGAGGCCAGTGCCAGGAAGATCAGAGTCGCAACAGTGTATCCTGCTGCCTTCACAGTTACAAGCGCACAAATGCCACACACACACACACACGCAGGTGCACACTCATACTCACACACACACGCAGAAATGCAGGCTCACACAAACAGACAAGCACACACACAGGCTGGAACACACAAGCTGGACACGGACACAAGCACACACATTCAGGCACACATACATGCACACAAACACACACACACAAGCACACACACAGAGGCACACACACACAAATGCAGGGACGCACACATTCATGCACACAAGCACCCACATATGCAGGCTCACGCGCACACGCAAGCACATACACAAGCGCACACATTCAGGCACAAAGACACGCACACAGGCACATATACAAGCACACAAACACTCACACACGCGCACACACACACACACACACACACACACACACACACACACACACACACACACACACACACACACACACACACACACACACACACACACACACACACACACACACACACACACACAAACACTCACACACGCGCACACACACACACACACACACACACAGGGCGTTCTGTCAGATTGGTCCGATCCTAATCAGACTGAGAGGGGCAGATGTGGAGCGACCGACTGCCTCCTGGGTACATTCTCTCTGTCATCAAGCGCGACATAATCAAAACCAAACAACCACAACTGCATTCTCCGGCCTGTCACTGCAAAACTTCATCAAATAACATTTAAACTAACACTTAAACTGTGAAACATGAATGCTTGAATTGAATAAATCTAAAAACAATATTTGCCATCATCATCAAACATTTTATAACAATATATTTGAGCTTGTTTTGTCATTCAAAAACTAAAATCAAGATTCTGACTTGTTTTTGTCACTTGAAAAAAGTATTTGCATGTGTATTTGTTTAACAAGCTCTCCACATGGATTATACTTGGATAATATCTTAAAGGTGCATTTGTGAGAGTTTTTTTCAATTAAAATCACAAACAGCAACAGTGTTCTCAGATGTTCATGTCAAAAACATTTGACATGAACTCTATATGGTTTATTTTTGTTTCATCCAATCAGAAAGCAATATGAGTCTCTCAGTTGCTCTCTCTTATAAAACCATAACTACTTGAACCAGCAACAAACTTACAAAAACTCACCAAGTCCTCCAAACTCACAAATGCATATCAGAGGATTCCGTAAGAAAGCTTCACTCAGTATATCATAGCTTTTACCTCAAATAAATATGCAGCATATATATTTTTGTTACCACTTGTAATTAAGTAAATCATTATAGCCACAGTGGTTCCTCTGGTTCTCTAAAGGCTTTGCAATTAGATAAAATTGGACGTTTGATTTTAGAAGGAGTATTATAAAAAGTAGTCGTGTATATTGTGGGTAGATTGGGGAACACAAACATGCTAGCTGCACACAGTTCCAGCTTCTTTCCATGATCTGTCTGTGATACTGTACCTATGCATTGCGTATTGTGACAGCCCACAAGATCTTTGTTTTGTCTTGTCTAATGTCTATCTCATTTTGTCAGTTATTAATGCTGTATTTCTTGGTTTAGTTTATGATAATTTCGATCAATTGTTTTATCATTATCACCACCCTCATAAACACTCATGTTGTATCCATGTACTTTCATCCACGCCCATCAACACCATTGTCATCCGGGCTTCCAGTGTGTTGAAAAGAATAGAGGCTGAAGGATGTTATGCCGTGGCCTGCTGTAATCGGGACACCTGTGAACCGCAGTGACTTGCACGGTGTGTCAACAGAGATAACCGTCATGGCCGCCGTCCTCACCTTCATATGTTCCAATCTCCAGAAGGGTGCCGTTCTCCTCAAGTTCCAGGAAGTCCTCCACAGACAGAAAGTTGTAGTCCACCCCTGGGACCTCACCGTCTCGAGGTGGACGGGTTGTACCTGAAAAACAAAGAAAAAGAGATCTCTGTTTAATGGTAGTATTAAAGTATTACTTGAGCAGATAGAATGAATGATAATGTATTTGGTATAGTGTCTTGTTACAATGACACAATAGTCTTACTTCTGATAATGTTTACAAAGCTTCTTTCATTGTTTATGTGAAAAAAGCAGAACTTTAACACCCCGCAAAATAACCTTTTTTTTCTACTAGAGGAATCCAGATTTTTCTTATAGGATGTACAAACTGTATTCTTGCATTGGGGCAGGAAGAACAAGATTGTTTACGGCTTTGGCTTCATACTTTATAAGAACTGCGCAAATGAAGCTGCCGAACACAGCACAAACTATTCACAGAAAGGCCTTGTTTACACCATGCCAGCGAATGAGCGCTGAACCACAGCAGAACGAGGATTAAATGGGGAAGATTATCAGGTAAGAACAAGGTGAGAAATGGCAACTATGCACAGAAAACCCGCATTTATGACCAAACGATGAGAACATGAAAAAAAATCATATTTCACAATCAAGAATCTAACTTCTGTAACCTGCACAGTGTGAAATCTAGCCAATCAGGGCATAGTTGCCACACAGCTCTGCTAAAGAAAGTGCTGCTTGATCTGAGAGTCACGAACGAACTGCCGGCGAACAGCTGCATGAGGTGTGAAAACAAAATCTTATGAAGTATGAATCGGCTTGAGGAGCACTCGCAAGATCTTAGACTTGCTTCTTCAGTACACTAAAGTTAGATTTCATACTTGCTCCTCTATTATGCAAAAGTTCCAGATTTTATTTTACTTAAGTCTAGAGTTTTTTTCTCACTTATCGTTTGCTCTGTGCTCCTCATTCCTACTGCTCTGTAACTAGTAATGCAACACTGAAATTTCCCCACTGTGGGACAAATAAATCTCTTCATCTTAATCACGCCTTCTTCTGTTCAGGTTAGAAATCTTTACAGAAATACCAGTAACGTAGTTAAAAAAACAAGGAATATCTCAATTACTCATCCTTCTTATCTTTTAACTATGATATTAATGTAAAGTAAGAAAAATATTACTGCAAAAGTTCTCGTTAGAAAAAAAGGGATCTCCCTGGGGTCCGACTCACACTACTCCATCTTCCACGGCTCATCGGTCCATTACCTTTCACCTGGCTGAAACAATAAATTGCTTATATTCACGCAGCTTCAGCTCATTCCACAACCCTCCTCCTCCCATCCTGTCAGTGCAATACTTTCACCACATCTCAGGGAATTTAACTTTCATAATCTCTCTATGAGCCAAAACAGCAGACATGTACCAGCAAATGGCAATACACAAGTCCCAAATACATGCAGGAACCAACTTACTACAGGTAAGCAACACATTCTAATGTTTCTATAATGTGTATTGCAAAAGCATGTCTTCAGATGGCTTCACTTCAGCGAGAATGGTGTTCAATCCAACTGTGAGAAAAGATCTCTGTTCACATGGGTGGATTTTCAAGACAGAGAAGGATGAGGGCAGAAATCAACATGGTATGATTCTGATTCAGCTACGATTAAAGCCACGAGACCCAATAATATTAGAGAAATTAAAGCTGAGGTCATTGTCCCGAAGGAAAAAACAACAAAACAAGTGGTGAATTGTTGTGAAAAATGAGAGAAAATTGTTACAGTTCAGTACAATTAGAGGTGGGCAAAATAAAGATGGAAATGTTTTGATTATTGAGAGACAAAACGAACAGCATTGAACTGAATAATGTATAATCTCTGACCATATTAATATCTAAATAATCCTCATGTTTGTAGTCAACTCCTACCTACCTCCTAGCCTACCTCGTAGCCTCCTAACTTGAACAGAACCGATGGAAACAATTTTTGTTTTATTGGTTTATGATGGTAATTTTGCCAGTAGTACCCATGGTTAAATGAATGATATATGCAACTTTATTGGTATTGTATGTTAAAGAAGCTATACCCGATTTTTTTTCTAAGTAGTTCATAAAAATGCTTTTTACTACATACAAGTTGTATCATAATACATCATTTAATTGAAAACTCGAGGTCATTGATTCAGCTGTGTAAGAATTACAAGCAGTGAAAAGTGCTGAGTAGAGTCTGAGCGGGCCGCTCTTTCTCCTCCGCTCACAGAACGAGCAGCGAGCAGCCTGCGTCCTCTAGCCCCTACAGCGCTGCTTAACACCAGGGCTTCGACTTCAAAATTCGAATATAATTCTAAAATAAAAAATGATGAAAAAAATTATTGAATAAAAAAATTTGAACAAATATTAGACAACCCTTGTAATTCGAAATGTATTGAATGACTGCAAATAAAATAGTTAGCTCCCAAAGGTTTCACCGGGACGTGCTAGGCAGGTAACAGCTAAGCTAGCTAGTTGTTTCATGGTAACTTCCGGGTTTTTCGCAATCGCTTTTTGTCACATTGAAACAGTATTTTTGTCATGAAAACGTTAACAGCAAATTCTGAAATCATCCGTGCATGTGTGTTAAGGATGTATATGTGTACTGTATTGTCCGATTGACGTTTAATGGTGTTGATTGATATGTATTTGTTTATTGAGCGTGGCTAGCTCCGCTAGCTTCTCTACACAGACAAGTGTGCAGAAAACTGCACAATGTAGTGACAGGTGCTGATAGCTTGTTGTACTTGCAGAATAATGGCAGTATTTTACACACCTGAATTACAGACAGAGATTGCATTGGGGCTTCGGTCATTATTGGTTTGAGAGTTCTGTTATCAAGAAAAATGATCGGAAGAATTGCTGCTGCTGCTTTGAGTAGCTCTATAACAAATTATAATTAAATATTAGAATATATTCTAAGGTTTTAAATTAATACATTAGGACGCAAAACTAGCGGTATTCTTTTACTTATATATTGTGTTAGCAGTGCGTTGCTTTAGTGCCATTTCATCAGTGATTGTTGCACATCTTACAAGAAGTTGTGCTAATGCTAATGTTAGCATATGTATCAGATCGCAAATAAAACTAGATGGCTCTGTGTTATGAGAGCGTAGGGGAAATGAGAAGCCATTGAGCGAGTTGGGGGGCGGTGCTAAACATTCAAACATTGCAGAAACGGGTATAGCGCCTTTAAAAACCAACTCTGCTCGAGAGAGGGGGGTAACATAAACCAAGAAACTCAAGATTACAAATACTACTAAAACTGTTTTTATACTTGACGTCCTGGACGTATAAAGGGACATTGTTTCTAACTTTGGAGGTCAAGGCTGTGACTGTCTATTTTGTTTTTGACTTAAAACTCTGTTTTGTTCACACATCAATACAAACAGACGTTGAATGAAGTGATGAATGAAGAGGTGATAAGGAAGGCTAATGTGATGCTAATGTTTTGTAAAGCATTGTTGTGCTAAGCTAACATAAACATCTCAAAAAACAAAAGAGAGGCCGGGAAGTGGAAGTCATGTTATAAAAGAGGATTAAGCAGAGGAACATTTATTTACATTTAGCTTTAGTCTGAGGCCGCGATAAGACGGAGACGCTGCAGAGACACTGCAAAGCAATTAGCAAAAAAGACCAGGCTCCTCATTGGAAGTGGACTGTGTTTACATGATGACGAAAAAAAAAGGAGTTCAAGCGCCTGGCCAGTAGAGGGCAGTGGAACTTTACAACACGACACACGCGACCCCCACCAGTATAATCACTTCCTCAACAACATCCTCCTTGGGCCGCCGCAAAGACCAGAAAGAATCAACATCATTCTGCATTTAACAGTGGATGTCCAAATGACTCATTATCTAAGGTCTGCTAAGATGTGGTTGGGAGCAGGTCTAGCGATCCTGCTAGATCGTTAGCCATAGCAGGATCGTGGTGTCTAACCACACCCACAGGTTATAAATCTCCACGTCACGGCTGAGCTTTCGTTTGCTTGAGAAAGTCGATAGGTGAGCAACCTTTCTTTGTTTTTCATTAACACATGTTTTATGATTTAACCCTGGCCTCAAAATCAAATGACTTCTGAGTCAATGATCTTCACATGAAGAGCACACAGCCATCTGTCAGGCCAGAGACCAGGGACAGTCCAGAGGAAAGTAAAGCCTCCTGATCAACATTTTGCCTCAACCACTTTGATTCTTAGAACCTATTTTAGGTTGTAAGCAGAGATTCAAAATCCAAAGAAGAAGAAATATCTTTTTAGCAATGTATCTAAAACCATCCGTTTTTTTATAGCCAGTAGGTTTTTACATCCTAGGGTTTTTTACTCCTGATCAGGATCATGAGCAGAGTAGCAAAAAGGAATTGCTTATTCAGACATCAGTGAATGTTAAATGTATTTGAAGTGGGCTATACCGTGATTAAAATAATATTTATAAAGTCCTTTTCAAATAATGCAAGACAAAGTGCTTTTCAGTTCATTAAAACAATCCCAAATGCTCATGTAATATACTCCTGACCTGTATCTATGCCACCTCAAATTCTGCTCCGATTCTAGGAGCACTTATGGGAAACTTTGTTTTTTCACACCATCTAAAAAGAAACTTCTGACTTATATTACAGAGTTGAGGTTTAGAAGCTGTTACGTGGAACACAAGGACCAGTCCATTAGAAATGAGACACTTGTTACCTACATCTGCACTGTAAACCCTGACAAGTAAAATTTACTTGAAAAACCCATGGAAATAAATTGCGTATTAACTTCCTTTTACTTAATATTACCAAGTAAACTCAAGTGATTGCAATACATTTTAAATTTCTACTTATATTCCAACCGGGATTCGTTCTCAGAACCCTGTAGTTGAGAGGTAATGGTGTTACCCACTCAGCCACCAAGACACCCTGCCATTGACATGCCTGCCTCATTAAAGATTCTACACGTCAAAATGTCAAAAGTGAGGCTTACTTGAACAGAAACAGTTCAATTCAAAGAAAACCCTGAGTGATATAGGCAAGCTTTAAATAAACTAACAATAAATGAGTAATATTTACTTACTAGGAAAAATCTATTTAAAATAAATTTAATATCTGAAGTACGATTGAAGTTAGGGTTTACAGTGTGGAGTCAAAAATATGTATTAGATTTATTCATGAATCCCTCTACATACTGTACACATCACTTCCAGAACAGTTCTGGTTTCCACTACATCTAAAACAGGCTAGAGCCCCTGTAACTCTCCCTCAGTGGGCGTTAAATCTAGGTCAATAACAAAAATGCTGTAATTGTGTGATTGAGGCTGAGGTGGAGGATTACCTTCACACAGCAACTGATCTGAACCCTTTTGGACCCGAGTTAATTCATAATCCTCTATTCACAGAATATATTTTGAAAAGCCCAACTTCACATTAAAGCTTGATAAATAGCAAAATAATACTCAATAAATGTAATAGTTTGTTAAGAATTCAGGACACAACAACAGCAGATATCAGTGGGAGTCGTCAAGTAATACTGTACCAACTGAGCCACTGTCGTCCCTGTCAAAGGTCTCAACAGCAAGAAGTAAAAGTTCTTGATGAAATTAAAAAGGGAGGATCAAATAGTTCAGCTTTTGTTTGAAACATGTTTAGAGGCCCAGACTCAACTTCTATAAAAAGTTTAAATAACAAGCCACTATTAAGATGATAATATGTAGAAATAACACAGACCAGTTGCAATTTCAAACAAGCACAGCTTCAGTGAGGTCTTTTTGCTTTTTATTGCCTAAATATAATTGCATTCTATATTGACAGTCTACACGTCCATGCATGCAGATCTGAGCCTCAGTGTGAAATGACATGGAGCGGTGGAGCAACAGAAGCGATTGAATTGGTGCATAAAACTATGAGTTTGAAGTATTAATAGACAGTGGTGAGAGCCAGGTTGTGTCCTCACTGGCACTGCTTAAAAAGCTCTGGAGCAGGGCACTCAGGTCCCTCAAGATGTCCAGCAGTGACCCACATCCTGTGCCTGCGACTGGGGCACTCTCACACATCAGGCCAACATGTGAAATTAAGGAACGAGCAGAAGATATGATGGCTGAATGTGGTGAGTTTGATTGATTTTTCACAATGAATTAGGTTTTACTTGTACTTTACAACGTTTATGTTATGTTTACAGTGATGTGTGATGTGGATTCAGTCACTTTTCCAATGGAGGTCAATATGGACATTTGACCATTCTGAAGAGAAATGCTGTATTTAAACTCATTGGACTGTAATTCCCTCAATATCTTTTGTAATCGTATCAGTTTTGAAAAAAGTGGTATTGGTGCATCCCTACTTTTTGTTGTAAATGTTTTATCTACAATATCATACAAGCTCTATTGTGTCAGATTCTGTAGTACCCATAACATCATAACTATGCAGTGATACCACTTTTTTCAAAACAGATACGAGTAGGAGTACCTTCATTTGAGTACTTGCCGATACCGAGTACCAATACTAGTCCTGCATTGTGTTATCCCTGGGAATTCATAAAACTAGTACAACTGAAATAAAATATTTTATTTCTCATTTCAACAATAAGAACATGCTTTGAATTGTTTTAACAATGAGAGCCACTGTCATATTCCACTCATTCAAATGCAATGTTGTAGAGTTGGATGTTTTTGTGCTTCTGTGCTAGCAAAGATGTTATAAATTGTGTGGTGGTGAGTTTTCAGATGTTTGATCAAGTTGCTGGTGTCATACATGTTTGTTTTGTGGGTTTTTTTCTTACTCAAGTCACTTCACTGTCCACTTTACTCTTGTCACTTGTTTACTTCAAAAAATGCCATACAAACTTTGTGTCTACTTCCCGCTAATTCTAGTGGCTAAGCTAAGCTTTAGCTAAGGTAGCACCAAAGCGCTTTCTCGCTGCCGACTTGGGAGATCACCATGGCAACACATGTCAGACAGCTGTCTACTGTTGTGCATTCCTAATCATAACTATTTATCACTATTTATAAAGTTCACGTGGGTGACAGTGACTCAGTTGGTAGAGCATTGACCTTTGGGCCAGAAGGTCGTGAGTTCAAGCCCACCACAAGACCTACTTCACGACTCCCACTGATGTCTGCGGTCGTCGTGTCCTTTGGCAAGACACTTAACCCCACTTTGCTTGAAGCCCCCACTGAAAGATCAAGGCTCCTGTGGACTCACCACCTGCAGGAGGCTGGTGCTCTGTGTACTGGGTGCAGCTCTGACCATCACACCCCCGACCCAGAAATGGATTAAGGGGAAGAAGATGGATGGATGGATATAAAGTTCACTCTCAAAAGGTCAAATCCAGTCACTCAGAACATGACAAAAGCAAACCGGAAACTGATGATGGACTGAGGTACAAGATGAAACAAACACAGGAGATGGTTACTGTCCTTTCCATCTGTGTGAGCTTCACGGCACGTGACAAAATGAAAGTTTGACAGTTTCATTTTGAAATATTGAATGCATGGGAGTCAATGGCAATGCAGGCTTAAAACTTACAACTTTTAAACCAAGGCAACTACTAGTTTTGAACCATATCTTCTCAGAGAAACAACCACACAATTTATTTTACACCAACATGAGCAATAAACAAGCCATCCATATATGAAATACTGGATATATTAGAATCCACAGTTTCCTCCCCTTCTCTTCTTAAAACGAAGAGTGTATATTCCCATCAATATCAATGTATTATGTATGTATAACCTTTAAATCTCTAGAACCAACCCTCTTTATTTGTTGAATCAAATCCACCTTTGTGTCTCTTTCGGAAGCAGAAAATAAAATTGTCACTGGCACAAAACAGGTTGACTTTTGAGACAGAAATGAGACAAGACAAACTTGATCAGAGTATATTCCTCTTCAATGATGAATGTTATTATCATTATTTTTATATTGTTTTTAATAGTTTTCATAATGAGCTTTCATGTCGTTGTGTGTATGTGATTGTTTCTTAACAATCTTATTCTGTTCAATGCTTTTAGTTGCCTTATGTATGACTTGTGCTATACAAATAAACTTGCTTTGCCTTGTATATGTGTTTATTGTTTTTAAAAATATGTATTACAGACCCCTGAACCCGGCCCCCTCTATCTACACCTGCGGACTGCCCTGCCCAACCCTTATTAGCTGCTTCAGTCCTGCACCGGACCTGTCCACGTTCTGCAACCGCTGCATGGCCCTAGTCCTCATTCTGTAGCTTAGGTCCTGGATCTATAGCCCGAGCGGATCCCCCTCTCAATGTGGTTCTCCCTGAGGTTTCTCACTTTTTTCCAACTGGGTTTTAGAGTTTTTCCTCTGATGCAGGAGGGTGTGTTGGACAGTTAGTGTCTGACAAAAAGGACTGTGGTGATGATCCAGGACACATTGGGCATTCTACAACATTTATGGACCTTTATCAACATTCATGGTCATTGGCCAACACTCTATGGACCAATACCGTTTGAACTGTTTGATTCTCTGATCTGTGTTGGCGATTTCAATAATTTGGTTATGTCCTCTGAGATAACTACTGTTTGTGATTTATACACGAATAAATGGAATTGTATTACATCAGTAATGGGGATCTTAATAAACTAAAGTAAAGAAGAGATCATTTTATTTCAGAGATTTGAGGTCTTATGTGTATCGTAAATAAAATGACATGCTCTTTCCGGCTCTACAGTAATTTTTCTAAGAGACTCATTATTATAAATTCAAAATCTCAATATAGATCTAAACCTACCGTTTGGGTGAACATCTGCCCCTTTACACAATGTCAGCAGAATCAAAGGCTAAGACTGCAAAGGAAGTTAAAAAAAAATATTTGATCAAAATGACAGAACCGCTTGCATATCACAGATTTAGAAATAAAATAAAGTAAAAGCATAGACAGTGTCACGGTGGTCAGTGGAGTCAGATTGTAAGAGACTATAAATTCCTCAAACAGGCATGCATCGCTCTAAATACAACTTTGGGTGTGTAAATAACCAATGTTTTTAGTTTTGCTTCCTGTCCTGTCCTGTCTATTTGTTGCTGGTCCATGTCTTTGTCTCTGTGTTTTTTCCATGGTTCTTATGTTCTGTCTGATTATTTTGATTCTGCTTTTCACCTTGGACATTCATTTTTGTACTATGATCTTGCATTTTGTGGCAGGCAAAGCAAATATAACATGATCCATTGAATATTTCTGTTCTAAAGTTTGAGTGATAAGGTTACGAGACGTCTTAGAAAGCATCACAAGGTTCCAGATTCTCAGCGGGGAGCATGCAGACGGACCTTTAACATGCTCAGACAGGTTTGAAGCAAAGCTGAAAAAAGTGCGGTTAATTCACATACTCAATATTCGTTTACGTTGTAAACATACTCAAAGTTAAAACAAGAATAAGTAAGTAATCTTTATTTATATAGCTCCTTTCTCAGACCAGAGTCAAAAAGCACTTTACAATTGTTATTTTTGGGCATTTGCCTCTCACTCCGAGGTCGCCAGTGCAGGAGGCGCATGCCAGACCTATCTTAAATTTTTTTAGTAGTAGGAGAAACCGGAGCACCCGTAAGAAACCTACGTAGACACAGGAAGAACATGCAAACTCCACTCAGAAAGGTCCTGTTCCAAACAGGATTCAAACCCAGGAACTTCTTGCTTAAAAGTGAAAGTACTATCCACTCAGCCAACGTGCCGCAGCTCAATTCAATTTAATTTTACTCTTGTATAGTCTTAAATCACAACATTAGTTATCTCAGAGGACTTCACCAAAAACACATCAGAGAATCAAACCGTTCAAACACAAGCAACGCAAAGACAACAAAAAACACCATAAGTGTTGATAAAGTCCATAAATGTTGTTAAATGTCGAGTGTCCTGGATCATTACCAAGGCAAAACCAGAATTATTGCATTGCCATTCTAAGTAACAGAAAGTCACAAACTAAGAGTGAAAACCAAAGCCCTCCTATAACTCCATTCACCTGCTTTGAAAGTTCAAACATCCTCCATTTCCACACTCTCCAAAGCGACTCTTCCTCCACACATAACTGTCTTTGTCTTTGAGGTAACACAGGATTTAAGGGTATGAGAAAACACGATAGCATCAGGGAGTGGGGCCGTATAAAATGATAAGATTGCAGCTCTGGATGTAATAAAGGCGACTGAAGCGATGCCCTGACATTCACCGCACACAGGATAACAAAGAGATGGAAGATTTGTCCTATCAAAGAGCTCATGTGAAAAAATACAACAAATGATGCTATATTAAGCTTCCTCCTCCTTTTCTCTCGTTACTATTGCATCCATGTCCTCTCTCCTCGCAGCATCTATAGACCTGGACGGGTTTGTCATGACATTTAAGACCAATTTTTGTGATAAACATTGCAATTATGAATAGTGATTTACATGTTAGTGCTTGGATTCTCTTCAAAGTGCAGACATCAGAAGCCAAGATCAAATAATTAGAGCGACAAGAATAATTGAGGGTAAATCATGCTGTGTGTCTTGCTAGCTTTTGGTTTCAGGGATTCTGTGCTTTGAGAGAAATAAAAATGAACGGCTAAACTAAAACAAGAGTGACGTGTATTTCAGGACGTTTTGTGAATGTCCGAGCAGCTTTCAGACGGATAATTGCGGGCTTTGCGATTTGCTAATTACGGCTACCAAAAAATTGCAGTTTCGATTTGGTTGTGATTAATCTCTCAGAGCTAATCTAATCACATGCCTTTTCTGCTAGCTCCATAATATTTTTCTATAATTTTATAATGGGAATGGTGCCGACTGGTTCTAACCTATGCTTCACACTACACAGTTCATATTCACAATAGAACAATTATAATACATTCTTATAGTTTTTCACCTGTGTCACTACATACACTCACTGACCATTTGACTTGACAAGTAAAATAATGGCAAGGAAGCTTTTTATAATGAAAGCAATAACCAATCGTGTTACATTGAGATGAATACTGTTCCTATAATACTTTAATAAATATATTTAATCCTACTGTTCTATAACTAGTGATGCAACACTGACATTTCCCCACTGTGGGACGAATAAAGG